TATATATATGTATATATATATACATATATATATATATATATGTACGTATATACGTGTATGTATATATATGTATATGTATAATGTATATATATATATATGTATATGTATATATATATATACATATGTATATATAAATATGTGTGTGTGTGTGTGTGACACGTTTTTGTTGATTCAAGCTTTCGGGCTTGTTCAAATCGATAAAAACATGTGCATTATTACTATCTTACGGACAAAGTAGGTCTACCGTGTAATCATTATATCTACATGGATAGTATTTTTGCTTGAATTAATTCTGTTAAATGGAATAGTACCGTATTTAAACGTAAAATAGCAATATGGTATTTACATATTACAAAGACAATTTGAGAAACTCACCAAATCAACTGAGCTCTATCGATGGTTTTTAGTAGACCTCTTTAGTACTATTTGTAGAGTCCTTCTTGGATTTAAAACATGGTGTTTTATGAAATTGAGTAGAGTAGCCCTTTATTTTTTCATAATAACAATTACAACAAACCTAAAGTCAGACGGGAAAAACAAAAAGCAACCTAAATTGCTGTATAAAAATTCTCAGCTGATTTTCTTTGCCTGATAGTTTATATTACGTAGCGTTTGAATTAGCATATTAAAATGAGGAATCAGAAGAGCGACAGTTTAATGACAGTTTTTAAAGTTCAATGAATAAAGACGGTGCATTGCTCGACTTAACCGATGCTAACCCGAGACATAAACACAGATCTCCGGTTTGGAGCCCCATACTTCGATTTGGGTGCTAACTTGATGCTTTTTGTCTGTTCCTTGCTTATTTATTGTCGAGCGCATAGAGACCTCGTTTATTTTCATCTAATATTATTTATTATTACTCCACATTAGCGCTTGGCTGATATATATCTTTGGCCACCATATTGTTTGAGATCATCAAAGGTTGACTTGCGGAACCCAAATTGTTTAAAATGTATTAAAATAGAACGGATATTTCGATAGCTCCTGCTATCTTTATCAACATTAAAGTATATATATATATATATATATATAATATATAAGATATATATATATATATATAAATGTATATTGATGTAATTTGAAATCTGAAACTACGATTTATTTTTAAAATATTATTATTAATAACACGAACGATGTAAATGATACAGCTGATATAATTATTTTAGCAATATTAGAGAACCGTAATTTAATCTTTGGCCACCATATTGTCTGAGATCATCAAAGGTTGACTTGCGGAACCCAAATTGTTTAAAATGTAATAAAATATAACGAAACTAAACCTTGTATGGATGTATGGTGCATGCATGAATGGTGTATGTTTGTACTGTCTCTTATACACATCTAGATGTGTATAAGAGACAGATATATATATATATAAATGTATATCGATGTAATTTGAAATCTGAAACTACTTTATTTTTAAAATATTATTATTAATAACACGAACGGTGTGAATGATAAAGTTGATATAATTATTTTAGCAATATTAGAGTACCGTAATTTAAGCCAACGCTTATCGTCATAAAATACTATTAAATGAGAAGTTTCATTTGAACGATATTTGCGAACCCAATTTCTCAGTCAAATTAGCCTAATTTTAAAATTACAGTAGCGAAACTTATAACCAATATTATAACAGATATGTAACAGGTTGACGTCACTATCGACAACACACACACTGTATCATTCTTGAAAGCTTTTAGTATAATTCAATTCTATTGTTTAGCTTCAAAATTCAATATTCTGTTAAAAGGCGTTATAATGTTTACGACATAATTTCCTATAATTAAGCACTTGCAGGCTAAGGTCAATAGGCCTAGTCCATCGTAGCTTTGAATACTTACCTCATAAACATCTACACCAGACCTGGGCCTAGCGATAATCAACGTCACCAGATATCTTCCAGTATGAAATTCATCCAAGCTTGAACTGTTTTTCTTCTTTTCAATTCAAAGTAAACTTTAATAATTTCCAATGCTATTGAGTGAAGTGGTATATTGCTTGCAGTGTAAAAGGAGTATAAGAGAGTTGTTGTGTACATAGCCACACGTTTGTCAAACCCTGAACAAGAGAGCAAAAGCACTCGAAATTTTGGTTGGCTAATAAATTTATGTTCTAAGAAGTCACTTACTATCTCTTCTTGTATCAGTATTTATTGGAGTTTCTATTTGACAGTTGAAGATTTGAACAACGAATTTGAAATCACGCTAACTATATTTGAGGGTTCCAGTATGCTTCTTGATGTTGACATGGATGGTGATGCTTTGCCTCAATTTGATATTGGCAGTGAGTTGTTATCATTGGTGGCGACAGGGGATCCAATAAGTCCGACAAGGGTCCGAACCAAAGGGCCACTTGGAGTATAAGGCCTGGTTTCCATACAATCGCACACGCTATCGCGCACAGCTTTCGGTGATGCTGATTGGTCGGTCGAATCTAGAAGCCTGCGCCGCTCGCGTCAGGGACTGCTACGCAGTACAACAACTGCACTGAAAACACTGTAGCGACAATGTAGCGATTTTATGGAAACCAAACTTCAGTCAGGATGCTGGAATAAAATCCCTGGTGGGATTTATGGTTAGCGATTTATGGCTTAGGACCGTCCAAAATTGTACGGTACTTTCAGAACAAAATATTAGGAATTGGAAACACAAATTTTGTTTGAATCTGCAAGATTTTAATCCGACGACATTGTCGTGCCGTCGGAGGAAAGGGGCGGGGTAATCCAAGCTTGGCCGACGGAGGAAATACACCTGACCCCCGCTGTTAATGAATATCATACAATGTATAGGTCTATTGCTAATTGGCATCAGTAGGCCTATTCTAATTAACGTTAAAAAAAAACTAATGTTGCCTAATCACACATAGGCCTTTCACGATTGTGGGCAACAGACCTTCAAGATATATCGCTGATAAATCAAATTTTTAGGGAAAAACATCGAACATTTAAATATCTCAAAACAGTATTATCTTTTTTAAATTTTCTTTGCTCGACTTATTTAATTGCAATCTGAGTAGTTTGTTATAATAATGGACTGGTGAGTGGATTGGCCGAGCGGTTAAGACAGGGGAACCGTGACATACAGCCATAATATTCGGCGCTGGCTCGCCTATGGTTCCGGTGGTGAACAAGTCTTCTCGGATAAGGGCTCTAAACCGTAGGTCCAGTGTACAAAATTGGCTCGAATGCACTATAAAGAACCCAGTAGAATAGGGGGTTACCCTGGTGTACTGGTCCATTAAATTCCCCTTTCTGGCCACAGAAGGATCGTTTACGTCGCGGCCCATATCAGGTATCCATCCTACCTGCGAATCCCTCTACCACGCTACGTAAGCAAGATCATAAACACTACGTAGTGAATCGATAAGAAGAATAATGGCCTTTCTGAAGGGGTGTCTATACAACGAAGACTGAAGACCGAAGAAACAAAAACGAACACCTCTATTTTTTCTCTTTTAGTTTGATGATAATACACCAGGCTGTCACAAAATCAAAATTACGAAATTTGTTGGGCGTCTGTTTGTGAAATTTTCAAGCCGGGTCTTCGTTTTGTAGACACCCTAAATGGGTGTCTACAAAATGTAGACCGAAGACCCGAAAAACGAAGACTTATTATTACGAAGAATTATTTCTCAATTATCTTATTGAAAATATTTCAAAATCTTTATAAAACAGTTGCAAAGTAAAGACAGGGGTCTTCGGTTTTATAGACACACCTTTCTGAAGTGCCAATCATCTAAACAACTGAACAATCAAAATAGTGCCATGAATGCGCGTTCAGGGACTTAGCAACAATATCCAAGGAGTGGGACTTAGCGGAAGGGGTAAATTGTATAACTTCTAATGAAATACTCTTTCATTCATCAATAAAAGAAAAAGATGAAATTGATTTTCTTTTTTTTCAAGAACGTATAGGATCTGTGAATATACAGACATAAGCATTCCTTTAATGTCAAAGGTCACGCATTGAATAAAGGCCCCTCCCCTGCCCATCGACACGTCCCCTTTGAGTCTCATTTTGAAAAACTTTATTTGTCCTTGCAAAATAAAAAAAGAAGGAAATTCCTCTTCCATTGAAATACAAAATACAGTAGAAGATTTAAAAATATAAACTCACAACCACGAAAAACATTACAAGGCCTAGAAACAGCTAAGGTAGACAATAATATAAATGAATAACCTCCATTATGAAAAAAACGTTTACTTTTTCCTCACATAAACGTCCCTTAACTGACTTTAAAATAAACTAATGGAAGCAGCATCATTCTCAATACGTTCTATTAATGTTCTACTCCAGTGGAATTACGTTTATTTCAACCCGATTGGGATCATCAGTCTTTATAATCACGTAATAACACATTTTCACGGTAATTTGTCTATTGTAGTTCCACATTTACAGTGAAATTAAAGGGCGTTTATATGAGTATATTATACGTATCCATTTCACACACAAAAATAAACGCCTCCATCGAATAAACGCAGTTTAAAAACCCTTCTCAACAATAATCGCGTTGATTTGAATATATACCTTCTCACAGATAGGCCTAGAAGCTGACTTGTAAAGTTAAAGTGATCAGTTTGTTTAGGCTGTGCCCAGGGAGTAGCGCCAGGGTTTGCCCGACGGGGAGGGGGAGAGTTCCCCGACGAGGGTACCGATCACTAAGAAGAGAGCATGGCGTATCTAGAAGTCTTGAAATGGGGGACTGATGGGTGGCGCGAAGGTAAAGCGGGGGAGGGCTCGATGATCAGTTGGGGGCGCTAATTCGCAAAATATGGTGATTTTAGGTTCCTAATTTCCTCTTCGTAATTATGTTACATACGGTATCTTTAACACAAATATTTGTAATAATCACTACGTCACGTCATTTTATCTATAGGTCCTGCAATGTACAGCCTTGGTTTTGTTGCTGAGGGAACACGGACAGATTTGGAAGATGGTTCTGATCTTAATTCGGGTTCAACAGTATGGGTACTCCCTGGCTTAGAAATCCTCCAGCCTGGGTATATTTTGTCTGTTGAGGCATATGTAAAAACACCCGGACTAGTGAATTTATTGGTAAGTAAAACATGAGGGGTGTTCACAATTATCAAAATGTTCACAAGTGTACAGCCAGTACACTAGGGGCTTGGGCGGATGCAGGGGGTGGAGACGGTGCGATCGCACCCCCTAAATTTGTATCAAGACAAATAATTGTTGTATTATATTGTTAACATAAATTATTGGTAAGATTTTAAAGGTATGAGAGTGCAAATTTTTTCTATATTACCGTACATAAAACTTATTAATTAGCTCTCTATGGATGTGGAAATAGCTGATAGAAGATCATGAGATTTTTTTGACGCTTTGTTTTGACTATAATAATGATGTGGTGATGATACATTTTACCATTCAAAAGTGTCATTTCTGGTCATCTAGATGTATTTCCTCAAATTTTCTCACCTCAGCTGAGGCTGAGGTGAGAAAATTTGGTGGGGCTATGGTGTATGTGGACTCATGGCTTTGAAGTAGGTAAAGTAAGTACATCAAAGACAATGTTTTTAAGTTTAAGGTACTATGTCCCACCCCCACCCCCAACTTTCAAAACAGATCTGCGCCCTTGCACGCATCCACTACCTCCAAATCCTACCTCATCTCCAGAGAGGAGAGGGTAGACAACTTTGTATACTTTTGCATAAGCATGAAAATTTTAATTCAAAATAGCCTGCAATATTGAGAATAATAGATGACCAATTACAACGCAACCAGGGATATTATTATGCCATCAATTGCAGTTGACATAAAAATGCGCGATGCCTATTTTTAATAACATTTTTGTTTTATTTTATTTTATTTTTTTTTGGTGGGGGTTTCTTAATTCTCAGTTGTACTTGGTAATTAAACTTTTTCGTATTTCAATTGTACTGTAAAGTTTATGCCAATGGTTGGAATTTAAAAATGAAATCAATAACGAATATTTGTCTCGTAGATTTTGAAGCCGATTTGTGCAGGAGGGGGTGATGTGTACTGTCCCCATAACAACGAGTGTGTCACAGAGAGCAGTTGCAACTACGTATTTGATTACCCGTCAAATCCAGAGTACACTGAATATTGTGACGCAAACGGGATATACTGTGCCTTATCAGGGACATGTGAAGATCCCGATAATACGCCAGAGTGCACAGTTAAGAATAACAGGTATGACGAAGCAAGTCCAAGAAATGACTACGAGGTGGTTGCTTCTATACCTGTGACGTTCACCAAAACCAACGCCTACGAATACGTGAAAATACCAATTGCTGGCATCAAAGCGGGAGTTGTTGCGGAAATTGGCTATATAATTGGCTACGAAACTACTTTAGCAGGCATCGGCTGGCAAAATGTCACAAATAATACCATTGAGTACCAATACTCGGCGGTGCCTCACGGCGTTGGAAGTACACTGGCTAAATCGGACGCTACAGCCTTTGAGATTCAGCATTACATCCGGGTGACCACAGTGAAAGAGCTACAGACTCTCATTACGTATACATTTCCAACCTACGGAGACCATCCCATCACAGTTAATGTAACTAATGATTTGGGTTCTGAACAAAAAACTTGCACAGTTACCATTCAACAAAATATAACAGGTATGCCTGCCTTGAACAGGTGCGTTTTATTCTTGTAAAAAGGTAAACAAATATCATAATATATGTAAAGATTTATATA